CTTTATGTCCATGGTAATAATTTTGCCTTTAACAAAGTCACCGACTGACAGACAGGGTGGTATTGCCACAATGCTAGCATGGTTAAAAATGTTCAACATTTTTAAATGCAGCTATAAGTACAGTGCATTACGTTGGACACTGAACAATACTAGGGCATTTCTTGGAATATTCTGCTGGTAGCCATCCATTTTACTGAGTGATTGATGTTTTTTCTGTTAAGTTAAGATGGAGTCAGACTTCAATGTCAACAACTGCTCTCTTTGCAGAATAAGTGGATCTGAAGTCCAGAGGCAGCCGAGGAAATGGCCTGGATGCGTAAGTGACCCCGAATGTACAGTAGAAACCATTAGATGCAGCCTGGCTATTTTTGTTGGAGCAAATAATCTATGGCACATTTTGAGGAAAATAAAAACACTCCCATGTTTTCATTTTTGTGAATAAAAAAGCAATTTCATATCAAAGTAACAACATTATTACCACTGACAAAAATGTTCCCATTGCACAGTGATTATTTTCCATCCATCCATCCATTTTCCTACCCTTATCCGGGACCGGGTCACAGGGGCAGCAGTCTAAGCAAAGATGCCCAGACTTCCCTCTCTCCAGACACTTCCTCCAGCTCCTCCGGGGGAATGCCGCGGCGTTCCCAGGCCAGCCGAGAGACATAGTCCCTCCAGCATGTCCTGGGTCTTCCCCGGGGCCTCCTCCCGGTGGGACATGCCCGAAACACCTCCCTAGGAAGGTGCCCAGGAGGCATCCGAAACAGATGCCCGACCGAGCTCATCACCTTATCTCTAAGGGTGGGCCCTGCGGAGAAAGCTCATTTCGGCCGCCTGTATACGGGATCTTGCCCTTTCGGTCATGACCCAAAGTTCATGACCATAGGTGAGAGTCGGAATGTAGATTGACCAGTAAATCGAGAGCTTCGCCTTACAGCTCAGCTCCTTCTTCACCACGACGGACCGGTACATCGACCGCATTACTGCAGAAGCTGCACCGATCCCGTTACATCCTTCCCTCACTCGTGAACAAGAACCCAAGATACTTGAACTCCTCCACTTGAGGCAGGAACTCTCCACCAACCTGAAGGGAACAAGCCACCCTTTTCCGACTGAGAACCATGGCCTCGGATTTGGAGGTGCTGATTCTCAGCCCAGCCGCTTCACACTCGGCTGCAAACCGCCCCAGTGCACACTGGAGGTCCTGGTTTGATGGGGCCAACAGGACAACGTTTGAAATTTAATGTTTATTTGTAGGTAGTTTATGTTAGAACTTTATTTGTCAAGTTATGTTAATTTCTTTATATTTA